TTTTTCAAGAAGGGGTTATCTGCGGAATCAAAGTGGGCGTGCCACAAGAGTGGGCGTGTCTAAAGCATAAACACTGTGGGCTAYGAGGCCTACATAATGGTATCGTTAGACCCTGCTTGATGTCTTTACAGCCTGACCCTGACCCCAACACTAAGGTTAACCAGGAGAAATGTGACCCAAGTAGGGTTCTCCAGAAAAAATGGTGCCGTACAGTAACGCCCCTTTTGTTCTTGTCCAATCAGGTGGTGCCGTATGGTGTCGCCCCTTTTTTGCTTGTCCAGTCAGGTGTGTCCCTTTAACAAAGTCCGTCAAATCAGGCGTGTCGCTTTAGAATCGCCTTTCGTTGGGACACACCCACTTGTCCGCAGAGACCCCTACTTGACTTTTTCAGATAAATTGGGGGTTGGGGGGGTGGGCACTGATTAGTGGGCCTGATGGATAGAGCTTCATCAGAGCTAAACAACCAAAAAAAAAACTTAAGCTCCTATCTTGAACAGTTTCTGAATTATAAGCACTTTTGCATGTCCAGAGAAACCCCTTTTTAAATTAAATCGGGGGTCTGGGGGGGTGGGGGGCACTGAATGGTGGGCCTGATGGATAGAGCTTCATTAGAGCTAAACAACAAAAGAAATCTGAAGCTCCTATGTTGAACAGTTTCTGAGTTATAAGCATTTTTGTATGTCCAGACACGCCCACTTTGAAAGGAGCCCCCTCCTCAAATATGGGGTCTATTGTAAAACCGTTGGCTGGTGCAGTGTAGGTCGGACTCATCTACAGTCCTGCCAAATTTCTTGTTGACTGGTGCAGCCGTTTTTGTGCTACGGTTGACCAAAAATCTCCGGAGGGGAAAAAAACAACAGTACGTAAACAATATGACTCCTGCTTACGCTTCGCGTGCGGGGGCCATAATAAATCCTTAAATGTAAAATTTAACATTTAGSCAAAGCACATATCATATYTTCTTATTTTACTAGCTGCAGCCATGCACCAACGGCAAAGGCTCCATTCCATTCCGAAATAGACAACATTTAAGATTTAAACTTGTATTAAGCATTTTGAAATGGAACACAGCCTTTGTTGTTGGTGCACGGCTGCAGCTAGTAAAATGTGAAAATATGATACAAWTGAATGTTGTTTTCTTGAGGTGTGTATAAAGCTAAATATGGACTTTTTGCTTCTCTGCTATGAAAAAACATTTGGGGTTCCCAACAGAACAGAAAACCACACCTTACCTCTCAGAACAGTTCAATCACTGTTTCATTATAATTGATCACRATAGTATGATTACAATTTAACATAAAAACATTTAGTTTTTATATCATGTAAATGTGCAYGTGAAATCAAGCTAAAAGTATTCTTTAGTCATTATCTTTAGTTCTGTAAGACTCAACATACTCCAAGGTAAATAGTGCTTTGTGGCCAATTTTTAGTTGTATTTACTCAAACTGTGCATAATTTTAACATTAGGAATATTATTTTGAGCATGGATTTTTCAGGTTTCCCTCTTAGGCCAAGATAAAACTTGTACTGCTCTGAAGTGAACAGAATGTACGAAAGAGGAACACAGAACAAAAATATAAATAGAATGTTTTCTGAGTTCTGACTCTTTCCTATTTAATGAATGACGTGTTCCCCCC